ACAGGTCAGTGTCTCTTTACCAACCAGTGTGTCTTGAATTTACCCTCAGGGATCAACAAAGTATCTATCTATCTATCTATCTATCTATCTATCTATCTATCTATCTATCTATCTATCTATCTATCTATCTATCTATCTATCTTAACTCTCATTTTATCTTAAATTATGTCCCATCCTTAATCTAAAGGGTTCAACGTGTATAGTAATGTATTTTCTTTCATATCAGGCTGTTAAAGGTAAAAAAAAAGCATGGAATTTTAAAGATAATAAATTCAGATGAGCAGTTTCCTGTAACGATGGCCCTAAAAACTCGGGATAAGAAGTTAGAATAAAGTGTGGTGGCTGAGAACCACCAGTTGGGTCATTATTCTGACTAATACTTTGGGTGTTGCACTTAATCATTTGGTCCATTAGCGGTAAACTGAGAAACTGGTAGGAGAGCATCTGAGATTATCTCCGTCTGACTTCTGGGCTCTCAGCCCCCTCAGCTCTGTCACATCTCCTCTCCGTCACATCGGGGATCTCATGTGTACGCAGCAGCCATTTTTCATGTTTCTCTCCCTGCCGGCGTGCCAACGGCGCCCCGACACAAAGCGCCGCCCGCTCTCCCTTAATGCTCTTTTTATTTTTTAACCAGTCGAGGCTAAATTATAGGCTGTGTTTCTGGAGGAAAGTCAGGAACTAAAGGGAGTCAGAGCACGGCTAAAAAGGAAGCTATTGAAGCTAATGAAGAAAGTGAGACGGAGGAGGAGAACTAGTGGTCCTCGTCTCTGCTGGGGTCTTGGGTTCTGGGTTGGAGTCCCCGGGGGAACCAGGACCAGAGGGTTCTGGGTTGGAGTCCCGGGGGGAACCAGGACCAGAGGGTTATGGGTTGGAGTCCCGGGGGAACCAGGACCAGAGGGTTCTGGGTTGGAGTCCCGGGGGAACCAGGACCAGAGGGTTCTGGGTTGGAGTCCCGGGGGGAACCAGGACCAGAGGGTTATGGGTTGGAGTCCCGGGGGAACCAGGACCAGAGGGTTCTGGGTTGGA